TGAGGTTAAAGTAATTTGTAAAATTTTCCCTTGAAATAACATAATATCAACAACGGGATAAGATTTGAAAAAAAGATTAAAAGAGATGTAGAGCCTGTTTGAGCCACATTATTTTAAAAAAATATATTTTTAAACAGTGATTTGACATCATTTCAATCACACATTCTTCAATAAAACAATATTACACGCAGATAAAAAACTTTTTCTTATTTTTTAACCACACATTTTCCATCAATACACTATTCGAGAATGCATTATTACCAAAATATTGTGGCTCAAACACCCCGTAGTTTTGTTAGCTAATTATTTGGGTTCGCTTCAATTATCGACATATTAAGCGGTGATGATGTTAGTTTCGATGGGATTGTCAAACCTTAGAAATTGGGGAGGAACGAAAAATTAATTGATAATTGACATTTGGGTCTTTTAGAAAGAAAGTCGTGAACAATTTTCAAAGAAGAAAAAGGAATAAAAATTAAAAATTAAAATCAGAAATGAGCGCCGCTACGTTGTCAAGGTGACCCCCACACCCCACCTATTGCATAGCCCTGGCAAACAAGACTAATTCAAAGTTTAAAGGTTGAACTCCAACTTTGAAGACCCCATTGTCTCGCCCTTATAGCTTTGTGAGGGAGGTAAATCGCGGGATGTACCCTAACAGAACAGGGAACAAAAGACTAATTCAAAGTTTTATTAGTTTAATGGATCTCTCGAGTCATATGAAACCATTTGGTGTTATGATATTTGTACAGAGTGTGTCTATAAATGTAGTTGACAAAATAATTATTAGCAAAATCTGGCTCCACCACTCACTACAAGCCATAGGTCCTTGTAGACTAGGCCCTCCAAACGCAAATTAAATACTAGTAAAAAAAATATAAAATACACTATTGGTATATAAGAAAATTAGTGATCGAGTTCAACTAGATTGGAAGTCAATTTTACAAGGCATTATATATGGGTGGCTCATAATTATACAAAAAACTAAGACAAAAATGCCATGTAAATGGATGTAGACTACAATAGAGCCTACATTGTGTTGAGATTATTCCACATCGATTGTGAAAAGAGCTGGTGATCAATTAATAAATTTAAGGGAAAGTCTCACTTCTTAATCTAACTTTGAGGATTGAGAAGACTTAAAACTAACCAATACAGCAATTATCATTTGACAATAATCAAAGGATAAGAATTACTTTTAAATAAGTAATTTTCATTTAAAAATAATTAATATATATATATATATATAGGTCTCCTGTGTTATTTTTATCGTAGTGCTAATTAATGAATCTCATTACACAAGTCATGCTTTCATTTTTCTCTTTATAAAAGTATATTTCGAAATCACAATTTGTTCAACAATGCGCATTTTTGTCTAATTAGACGATAAAAAAAAAATGAAAAAAGAAGGCATTAGTAGATTTTCCTGCTGCATCATGATTTCCATTTCTCATGTATTATTTTTATTGTAGTACTAGGTATTAACGAATCTCGTTACACAAGTCATGCTTTCATTTTTCTCTTTATAAAAGTACATTTCGAAAGCACAATTTGTTCAACAATGTGTATTTTTGTCTAATTAGACGATTAAAAAAAAGGCATTAGTAGATTTTCCTACTACATCATGATTTCCATTAAGTAACCAAGGTTCTGTTAATTCAGCATGACTAGTGACTAAAAAAATGAAATAAAAATTGACTCAACTATCAAATAAAAATAACGTCGTTATTAGTGTTTCATCTACATGTCTTGTAGTTTCATGTTCAAGATGTTACAAAAATATTTCAATCAATCAGCTAAACGTTTCTTATTTCACCTTACAAAATATATGCTTATTCAGAAAACTTCAAAAAGTTGAGATCAAAGTTTACAATTAATTTTAGCCACATATTTTATGAGACCAACACTTTTTACCAACTTTTATCAAAACGTTTGCCAAACATTACTCGAAATTGATATATTTTTGTTGAATAATATTCTATATTGTTCAACTCACTTTATCAAACAAACGTGGTGTTAATGTCAAATGGTTGAATATTTGAAAATTGAAAATTGTGGATAACATTGATCTCTCTTACAAGAGAAATAATTGAATTGTTTGAAAACAAGTGTGCAATGATAACAATAAGATTGATGAAGGAGACAGAGATGCCAAGGATAGAGTTGTGGGGTTTCCACTAGGTGCAGATTTAAAAAAGTAAGAATAAATCATATATCTTTTTTCTAATTATTTTTGTCTTTATTTTCAGAAGTTAAAAAGCTAATAAGTAACACCAGATTTGATTTGATGTGTTAGCTAAACTGGGTATCTTTTCCACTCTTGAATATATAAATTGACATTTCAATTGTATATGGTGTTTTGGTCGGAATTTTGCTTATATATTTAGTATAATTGAAGCATGTTTACTAACTACTCATAATCGAAAAAACGTATTGGAAAATAATGATACAGACCCCTATATTTGACTTTTCAGGGAGCGTATAACCATCGTCATCAATTCCACCACACACCCTTCATTATGTCTAACAATCGTTCTTGTAAAAGTTATGAACACGCTAGTAGTAACACATCTTGTATCATGACAACTTGTCATGAGGATGTAAATATCTTACTCAAGCGACACCACTATCTTCCATAAATAGAGACAATTCATATATGATAGTGAGTAGTTAGTCGAGCCCACTCTACCTTTTGAACGGCTTTTCTCGATGTAATCAGATTATCCATTCTTGATCCTGCTGGTCTTCTTTCCAAAGCTATGTGCAGTCCAAATTAAACCAGTACATTCTTGACTTGCAACAAGCCAAACTTGATTTCCCACCAAATTTCTCCAAATCACCTTACATATGTTTTCTGTGGTCAGCATTCTAAACAATGGGTGAAAGTGTTTCGTGGTTGAATTCTATATAGACTTTAGAGATAGAGTCGTGTGTGATTAATTCACTCTCTTAAAGTCTTCGATGAGATGAACACAAATTATGCTGCTTAGTTAGGTTCTCTCCCACATATACTTTTCTGGATGTGTGTGTGTGTGTTAAAATTCGGTTCTCTCTCAGATTGATGATATTTGTTAAACTTTGACTACTCGTTTATTTTTTCCAACTCTCTGGTTGAATTCTATATAGACTTTAGAGATAGAGTCGTGTGTGATTAATTCACTCTCTTAAAGTCTTCGATGAGATGAACACAAATTATGCTGCTTAGTTAGGTTCTCTCCCACATATACTTTTCTGGATGTGTGTGTGTGTTAAAATTCGGTTCTCTCTCAGATTGATGATATTTGTTAAACTTTGACTACTCGTTTATTTTTTCCAACTCTTGTCGTAGTGGGTTTGCCTATTGGACTTTGAACGGAGGCTTCCGTCATAGCTTGGTAATTCTTGCATTTAGTGTTCTAGGGTTTAAAATTGGATTCTCTTTTCGGTCGATCCTCCCCTAAATTTCGACTAATCGACGTGTGTCTTTTGTCTAAACAACTTGCCTGGCTAGCTTTGAACGGAAACTTTAATCTTGGCTACTGCAATGACACAATTACTTATATTACTGCATTTAAATTTGATTCGATATTAAAGTAAAATCGATTGGCATAACCCATTTTGGGCTAGACATCCATTTTGTAAAGCTTCCTTTTATCCACTTTGTAGATTTTGCAGCGTCAATAATACTTTAGCAATAATTCCACTTCAACAAAGTTGGATTATAAAAGTTGCTTTACAAAGTATGTTGACGGAATTTAGGTAATTGATTTCAAATGATTTAAAAATCTATTTGTGAAATGATTGGTGAGTATCCAACTTTGTCATCCAATTTTGTCAAACTCCTTTGTCATTGTAGTATAACTTATACTTTAGCTACTTCTCTGCGTTATGACCATGTTAGATACTTGTAAATGATTTTGTTAGTGTCAATATATAAATATGAATTGAACCCTGCTCAGTGTACAAAGAAAGGGTTCACATAACTCATGCACAACACACACAGCAAGTGAGTGTTTGTAGGTGTGTGTGCACAGTGCATTGTTGCAATATTTTATTCACATGAGACTCGCTCTTAAATGAATGTTTTGTATTGTTTATGTGAAACAAATTCTGTACAAATAGATTTTCTTATATGTATTTCTTCATTTATTAAGCCTATGTTTGGCCCCCATTTTTAAGAAACTAATTTTTCAAAACATATTTTCAACCGCCCATATTCCCATAAAATAATTTTACGCTTAAATCAAAAGTTTTTTCTTATTTTTAATTACATATTCTTCAAAAATCACTATTCCAAATATATATTTTCTTACAAAAATATGGCTCATTCAAGTCTTTACATATATTAATTTTAGTTAATTTAGATTGTGTAATTTATTCTCATTTATTTCAAATCAAAATAAAAAAAAATAAAAAAATAAAATTAGAATTTAATTGTTCATCTTGGATTTTTTAATTAATCGAGTCAACTAAAGACAATTTTTCATGGGCATGGGTCAATTCCTACAAAATTATGGACGATAATAGTTACCAGAATTAGTGGGTTGTGGCTAAATCGTAAACTCACAAAATTAAAAATGTTTTCCATTGATTATTATGGGACGGAGAGCGACTCAGCCTCCATTGCCATTATCCTGTCCCGTGGTTTCAATTCTTGTCTGTGTCTCATCTTCTTCCCAGTAACTACTTCTCTCACTTTCTCTCTCTAGATGCAGCTAGACCCAGCACCGGAAAAGTAAGTAATATAAGAAAATCAGATGACAAAATTGCAATAAATGCTATAATATTTGTTTTCTCCATGCATAATTACTTTTTTTTTCCCCAACAATTTTCTGCGTATGCGAAACTGTCTTAATAAGTGCTATTTTTTCAGGTATTGGTACTTTATTTTCTCTATTATTGTTTGAAACACAGATTTAACTCTCTCTCTCTCTCTCTCTCTCTCTCTCTCTCTTTCTTCACGAGTTCATTATTTTTGGTGTATCTCTCGTGTAATGGTTCTTTGTTTTGTTTTGTTTTTTCATTTATAATGCCTGAACCTCTCACATGGGCTTTTCGTACATTTGTTCGTTTCTGAAAATTTTACGGACTTATATTTTGTCTTTCATTTACTTGCACGCACTAAAAAGCTTGATACAGAACATAGAGGCAAATCTGATGCCAGTTTGATCATATTCAAGTTTTTGGTGTTGATTAAGAGACTTGATCTGGATATTTTAATGTATGCTTTATTGCCAAATCTTGAATACTCGTGCTTCTTTAAATTTCATGGACATTCTCTGATATGATTCATGAGGAGCAACTTTCGTCGGTTGGACACTTTATACTTCAATTTTCATGAATATTCTTTAATTGATTTCTAATGAAAAATTATTATCTGGCCTGTGTTTAGTCATAATACCATGATATCTGGAACTGATGGGTGGTGATTTTTGTTGTTCTTTACAGAAGTGGAATTTTAATCATTTAGTTTGAAAAACGATGCAAAATAAGCTATGGCTTGCACTGGTAATAATCTACTGGGGTTGAAGGATTTCCCCAAGGGTCTTCGAGTCCTCCTCCTTGACGACGACAAGGATTCTGCCCTGGAGATGAGATCAAAGCTCGAGGAAATGGAATACGTAGGTAAATTATTTGTCTTTCTTTCTTTCTTTCTTCCTTTTGTGTTAGAGACAGTTCCCTTAATTATTTTTTAATTTTGTGAACATATGCAATAAGATTATAATTTTCTTGTAAAAACCATTTCTTCTATTTGTTTGATCCCTAAAAATTTAAGGGTTTGACGAAATCATGTCTAATTTTCTTGCATTCTTCAACTTATAGTTGGCTAATTATAATAGTTATAGGTGAGAACTATAGCATTTTGGCTAATCATGCTGAATGGATGATGTTTGGTCAATTTCATTTAAATGTGTTAAAGTGGTCAAGATTAGTTCTGGTTGAGTTAGCTCCAAGTTTATTTCTCAGGAAATAACCGAAAGTATGCAATTTTTCATTCATCACGACAATTAGATTTGTTCTTTATGGAGTCTTCCCAATTGTAAATTTGGTTGGTAAATATTTTTTACTTCTTAAATATTGGAGCAAGTGCTTATTCACTATTATAAATCTCTCTCTTTATTTTGTTATTATCTGCACAACATTATCATCTAATAATCAAAATTTCGTTGTAAAGGTAGAACTTTTTGTGATTTTCTGAATGCATATATGAATTAGAGAAAATTATTTCCTACTTCTTCCTGATGGTAACGCTGACCTTTTCTGCTGCTATACAGTTTTCACTTTCTGCAATGAGAGAGAAGCTTTGTCAGCAATTGCGAACAAAACTGAGAGCTTCCATGTTGCTATCGTAGAGGTACTAAACTTATTCATTACCATTTTCGAGCATAACTGAAATTTTATCTGTGGACTTTATCGTAATGGAATCACAAATTACTGTTCCAATCAGTTCACCATTTGGAATAATTGGTTAAAATGTGTGTTCAAAAGGTTCATATCTTCTGATCTGTAGAAGGAGATACTAATCCTTTGCAAAGCAAGGGAAAAGAGCGACACCCAAAGTCAATTGCTGTCGTTAAAACATTACAATGAATAGAGAGCTTAAGTTCTATTTCGTAATGTTAACAATATAAAAAATGTTACAGGTAAGTTCCAGCAACAAGGATGGGGTATATAAATTTCTTGAGAATTCCAGAGACTTGCCCACCATAAGTAAGTGCAAATGTGCAATGACTGTTCTCACATGTTCCGCTTTTTATGTTGAGAATGGTCTCTCCATGTAGCTACTAACACTATAAAATGACAAATTGTATGTTTTTTTAACTACCTTTCTGCAGCCAACTTGATTATTTTGGAGTGACTTTTTGAAACAAAATTCTGGGTGTGTGGTCTTTTGACTTCTATGAAATACTCAGTTAGTATAGATGTGCAGCATAGTGTTCAGTGACTGAAGCAAGAGAATTTAAACTCCTCCTCATATATATTGACTAAGAAGATTTTGTTTTTCCCTTTTTGTCCCAGCCACTTCAAACATCCAGTGTCTCAGCACCATGATGAGATGTATTTCGGTAAGACTCAAAGATCTGAAGTTCTAATCTAATGCAGATTCCTGCATGAAGAGTTCGAAAATTACATGTCTGATTTTGAGTTTACAAATATGTTTCATGTTAAAAAAATCACACTATTTATCATTCTAAGATTTACAACTACATAAATTTAGGTACTCAAGATGGCATAAACTTAGGTACTCAAGATAGTAGACTACTTTACACATTCTGAAACAGTTAATATCATTGTTTCAATTCTTTGTCATATTGTATTTTTGAACTTTTGCAGCTTGGCGCTGTTGAGTTCCTTCACAGACCTCTGTCGGATGAAAAAATCAGAAATATATGGCAGCATGTAGTTCATAAGGTTGTTGCAATTCTAAGTTCATCATATTGTAATTTCTTTGTGAGGGTTTCTGGTTTCCTTCAAGCATTTGGTGTTTATTCCTTGAAGAGGAGATCCTAATCATTTGAGCAGGCATTCAATGCAGGAGGAAAAAATGTCTCTGATTCACTGAAGCCTGTCAAAGAATCTGTTGTTTCCATGCTGCGGCGCCAAACAGACAAGGATGAACCGGATAAACTAACATCCATTGATACACAGTACTCGACTCCTGTGCTAGAGACAAAGCAGGAAGCATCGTCAAACAGTGACAAATACCAAGCTCCTTCGACCCCACAGCTGAAACATGGAACTAGGTCCCTGGATGATGGTGATTGTCTGGATCCAACTACCTTATCTGTGGAAGGGGAAAGTGGGGAACAAGATGGGGAATCCAAATCTGTCGACACAACTTGTTGCAATTCAGTTGCTGAAACAGCGAACCAAACAGTCCAACTTCAACCATTGGGACAGGCTGCCATTAAGGAGGAGCATGAATCAGCTGATGCTATTTTGAGTGCATCCAAATGTTTGCCTCGTTCCCTAAATAAAAACTGCTCCAATAATTGTCATGGTGATGCTTCTGAGCCGAATAAAGCATCAACAATTCGTGATTCATGTGGGACTAAGGCAAATAAGAAGTCAAAGGTAAGATGGGATATGAGCAATGCTCAAGTTTGTTGCAAAATTACATTATCTGATCCTGTTAACTTGTAACTGTAGTGCCAGTAGTCCTCGAGTGTTGTATAAAGCATGAAACCATTCTTTATCATTTCCATTGTTTCTGGGAATTTTCAACGTAAAGAAATGTTCCTAACTTTTAGTGACGTAAATGAGTTCCATATCTGTTTTGTTCTTATTTCTGTAAATAGCTCCAAACTACATATAATATTATTTCAGCTGAATATTTGTTTTGCCATCTCCATAGTAGTTTTTCATGTCATTTATCACATCTAGATGATACCAGTCTTCCACTTCATAAGTTATCTGGTTGTAACTCACAACAGAAGATCTGTCTGAATGTCTATTGAAATTTGTACAGTCACGTAAAACACCTGATTTGATACATGCTTAGGCGCCCCCAAAAGGAATAGTTGACTGTAGAATGAAGTATAGTTTTATTTCCCCCTTTTTTTGGATCTCTGTGAACTGCATATGTGAAATTTCTTTTTTATTAGAGAGCTACATCGAATTCTTTATATACAATGATGCAATGTTCCAATTGAGTCTCTCAGTATTTAGTCGTCACTTTACTGAAGGTTCTGATGATCCTGCATTTTTAGACAACATATTTGCAGAAGACAGTTATTCATTTTTGCTTGGTCCAATTCAGGTAGACTGGACACCTGAACTACACAAAAAGTTTGTACAAGCAGTAGAGCAACTTGGTGTGGATCAGGCCATCCCTTCTCGGATATTAGAAATAATGAAAGTAGAAGGTTTAACCAGACATAACATAGCAAGCCATCTCCAAGTGAGTAACAGTGGGTTTTCTTTCCCCTTTCCTCCTTTCCAGGTTGAAGTAATTTTGTTATGTGAAATTACATATCAATTTGTATCATTTGTAAGGATTAACTTAAGTCTACATGATGAAACACAAAAGTTGCTGTAAATTAATGTCAAACAATACATATCCATGAAAGGTTTAATATTCTTTTGGATTAAACAAGAGGAAGATAAACATAGTGGAAATTGTTTATCAAAATCATAATATAGAGAAATGGAAGCATGTCTTCACTTAGATGTCATCCATCATTAATTTGATGTCTCCTCAATTATTTTTTGGTGGAATACTATTCTATTGTCAGTTTGGAATAGTTGGATTGGATGGGGTTAAAATTTTCTTAGATGTATAAGTTTCTTTAAAAGGAGATTTTTTAAGCAGAAATACAGAATGCACCAGAGGCACATTTTGCCGAAGGAAGATGACCGGAGATGGCCTCATCCTAGAGATTCATCACGAAGAAGTCATTATCTGCAGAACCCCGTCATGGCTTTTCCACAATATCATTCTAATTATGTCCACCCTTCTGGTCACGTCTATCCTGCTTGGATGCTACCTGGAAGTTATCCAAGCCCTGTCCAGATGTGGGGTTCACCTTACTATTCTGGATGGCAACCTACGGAAAGTTGTCATTGGAAACCTTATTCTGGGGTACTATCATTTCCCTTCAACTTAAAAGTGAAGTTATTTCCTAATGTATCCCATTGGGTGTATCTATGCAACTATGGTGTTGTACAACTAACTTTAAACGTTATATTTGATACTTTTATTATTTCAGATGCATGCTGATGCCTGGGGATGCCCTGTGATGCCATCGCCTCATGGATCGTGTCTGCCTTTTCATCAAGTGAGTTTATTACTTATTTATCTCTAATTTCAGCATTAATCTTAGGCTTAATGCATGTCTACGTGATGGAGATGGACTTACTTGAAATACATGTTTTAATGATGCAGAATGCAAATGGGTTTCAGAATGCCAATGAAATGCATAATAGAGTTGGTGTGCCTTCATTTGATATATATCCGGTAAGGTCACGTTATTTGGTTACTTCAAATTTTTTGTTGGCAAAAAAGTTGTACTCAAAGCACCACTGAGTTTAGGGCTTAGAATATGATCCTATGAAACTTGACATCCAAATTTTATATTTTTACTAGTATCTTTTAAGCTCCTAGCTTCTGTGGAACCTTATTTCGACCAGTGTAACAATAAGCCCTTTATGCTCTTCCATCCCTGTGACGAAGAAGCATCCTTGTAGATGCCGATTTTCTTCTCTTTAGGTTATCACCACAGCTAGAGTACTACTCCAAACCTCGTATGACTCGTTTGGCAAGATAAATTTGTACAGTATTGGACATATTATGGAAGAAAACGAGGCTAAGATTATATCCATTGTATTGTCCAGTCCAGTCCTGCCCTGTCCCGTCCATTACCTGGTAACAAGCATACTTATTGTGTTTATAGAACTTCACTGCTGGGTTTTTGCTACAACATTCCTAGACCTTGTGGAATTGTTAGTAAGTGCAAAAATGTTATTAAGCCCTTGTTTGAGCCCTATTTTTACCTCATTAAAATGAAAAATATGACCGTTATCCATCACATCAAGCCACTATTTTTGAATTTCTATCTCTGGTGTGGGATCCATAACGGCTCTATTTCTCATTCTCATTATAATGTAGCTCAAACGGGCTCTAAATTAGACCTTGTCAAGAGTTCGTTATGAATGTGCTTCCTCGCACGATAATTATACAGGTAATGAGTTAATGGTTTTTAGTACGTACAATGTCTGAAACACATTAGTCGTTCTGAATGGCGCAAAAGGCATTTGTAAATCATACCAATGTTTACGGGTTTCTATATCCCTAAAAAAATTTCATGACCATATATCATAGGGGTTGCTAGATTTCACCAACCCGATCGAATGAAATTTGTTCGTACCATTTAACAAACTAATAGTGCACTTTTATGGGATAAAGATAGTGTAAACTTCTGGATTCAATTCGTTCGATAAGATGAATGAATTGAATAGATTCCTTATTGCACCCTGCAGGCAGAGGAGATGATTGACAAAGTTGTTAAAGAGGCAATTAGTAAGCCTTGGCTGCCCCTTCCGTTAGGCCTAAAACCTCCATCAACTGAGACTGTCATCAATGAGCTCTCCAAAAATGGCATAAACCCCATCCCTTCTCACATCAATGGCTCACATTTATGTTAACGTGGCTCAATCTTGTGTCATTGGTCCACCACTCCTCCTGATGCCCGTGAACAGACCAACCAGTCAGATACAAGTTTGAGAAACAGGACATGTACAGAGATCCCCTGTAGTTCTGCTTTTCTTCACATATGGTGGAAAACGAGCCACGTCCAATGGAAACCAAATTGCGGTTGTAAGTAAGTTTTTAAATAGAGAATCTAAGAATCATGTGTTTGTCGTATTACAACATTGGATTTTGCCGTGATTGGGTGCTCCATTTTGTGCTGTTGACACCCTTTTGGTGAATAATGTTTGGCATAATTTTGGGCATTGTGGGCCTGCGATATAATGAATGGACCTCTGAATAAAATGACACCTTTTCTGAATCTGGGATAAAGGGCTTTGCTTATCGATGTGTGACAAAGCTTTTGATAAAAATTTGATGAAATGTGTTGTAGAAAAGTTAATAAAAATTTTGTGTCTCGTGATTAAAACTGAAGTTTGATCGATTGAATAGTTGTCAAATTTTTATGAACAAGCATTGAGTTCTTGCTAGTAATAATCATTGTAAAAATTCATCTCAAATGAAATGAATATTGATTTCAATATGATTAGTGTTGGAATATAGTTGTGTTAATGAAATCGAATTATAACATACCGTATATGTAATTTAGATATCAATTTTGAGCATAACGTATATGCAGCTTATCGTACTTGCAGGAAGCTCATCGTATTTACAGGTAAATTACCGTATTTGCAACTTACCGTATATGCTGCCTACCGTATTTACAGCTTATCGTATGTGCTGCATATCGTATATGCGTTTAACCATATGTGCACATATTATTTTACCCATTTCATAAATACCGTGTTTTCAAATACCGATTTTGCATTTACACATACCTAAATTACAATAATTTTTTTCAGATTTTTTTAACATAAACAGAAATTAATACGGATTAATTTTAATAACATAAATAGAACGATAACATAATAAAACTGTAAATTATATGAATCACACGAATAAACGTTAAATAAATAAATTTGTAAGAATAAATTACGGAGTGTAATCGTAAAATAAATAAACAGCAAATGGATTTTCAATTAGAGGCCTGTGCAAACACAATTTTCTTAAAACAGATTCGTCCCCTAACCATAATTGCTTGAGGTTTAATATTAACGTTTGTTTTTCAGGATACAACGGTAAAATCTTTTAGAATCTGAGCACCACAGATACCACTCTGACGAACTGAGTTTGTATTCATACAATATCATTATCAAGACGACGCTGAACAAAAATCGAGAAGCAAACAGAAAAAAATATGCAGATTGTTTTTCTACCGGAAAATTATGAGATTTAATATATGTTAAATCTGTCCATTAAACTCCATGACAATAAAATCTGGAATTATTTCAATTTTCGGGAGTTTTGACAGTTTCAAGAAACTCAAAGGTCAATTGGAGAAAGCAAAAAAATTGCAAAACGTGGAGATTCTAAACGGGCTAATTTTTGCTCCGTTTAGTTCGATATTTGTGTACACAGGTCACGTTCGTACACAAGTTCAAGGTTCGAAAGCAATTTCGATCCGTGATTTGCACCCCTGCGCGTGCACGTGGAAAGAGTCTCTATATTACACATGATTACACCCTCCCAATGTACAACCATATTTAAAGTAATTCTTGCTTTCATATTTTTTCTATGTGAAACAAATTCATTTTTTCCACATAAATCATCTTTCAATGGTCAACTTTGACTTCAAAATTTTCATTTACCTGATTTTCATTTTTGACAAATAAATATATGATTTCGATACTTTCACGAAGTAGAATACGAATCAACTTTGATCTTCCGAATTGGACCAACGAGTCCCACCAAAAAGTGTGCCAAAAGTGAGCCATTTACTCATATTTTCCAACAATTAGTACATACATGGAAATAGGATTATTGCGGTTAAGGTAACGACTCTTTGATCATCCCACCAAAAAATTGGATAAAGTGAGAGAGAGATCCCAAGTTCTTGAAGCAACATCTTTATTCATGTAAGCTTGGCGTCGCGACACCAAGGGAGCCCAGAAAAGGTTGACTCTGGGATACTTTGAATGGCACGAAGTTATGTTTGAGTCTTATATGTATTTTCAAAATTTGCCTATACCAATTCTTTACTGCTCAAATGTCAACCCTTTTATGTTGAAGCCTATATCTAGTTCAAATTAATGACATTGGGACAAACTTGTATTAAAATTTCAAAATATGCAAACCTCACGTATAAAAATTTATTTTAAAGCAAATTGAGAAAACTAATGTACGATATTGTTGAGTTAATTGTTTCAATGATCACTGAATTTAGGTCTATGTCTTTGATTGGTCACTGAAATTTAAAATGTCGAGTTTTGGTCATTGAACTTGGGTCTATATCTTTGATTGGTCACTGAAATTTAAAATGTTGAATTTTGACAACTGGACTTTGAAAAATATTATATATTGCTCACTGTAAACTCGATATTTTTCAAAATTCAATTGTCAAAACTTGACATTTGAAACTTCGATGAGTAATCGAAAATATGGACCTAAATTCAGTGACAAAAACTCAACGTTTTAAATTTCAGTGACCGAGCTTAGTGACCAAAACACAATATTTTAAATTTCAGTGACCAATTAAAGATATGAGTCTAAGTTCAGTGATCATTAGAATGATTAATTCGATATTGTTTGCATTAAATGCAAAGAAAAAAATTCATGCCAACTTTGAAATATGTGAAGTCTATATATTAGGCTTTTCCATTCGTGAATGGTGCCCTTCATGCCTTCACTACTCAACACTCATTTTGACCACCTTTTCGGACCACCTATTCAACTTCATTTTGTTATGAAGAAAAAGAAAAAGAAAAGGAAAAAGGAAACTGATTGTATCAGACAAATTATTGTGGCGTGGTTGATAGTTAATTCAAGGGCAAATTAGGAAGTTCACAATTGAATCGAGGACATCAATCGTAGCATAATAGCATCTCAAGAAAATTCTCATTTCTTTGATTCCATGATCTTATGAGGAAGAATTATGCAAGTTATTATATTTGATGAGAAAATGAGAAATTATGTGAAATTCCTAGAATTCATCTTCAACGAACAATATGCTTTCAAACCTCATTTCACTTTGAAAGTGCACCATGATGTTTTGGCCTATCTATCGAGATAGTACTTTGGATGTGTTCGGGTTCAGCAATACAAATTGAAACTTGATGTGCAAGAAGATTATCTCATCAATGGCCTCGTTTTCTTCCTTTGAGTTGAAATATAGGCTAAACTTATTGTATTATTCATTCAATTCGAGGATTATTTATACAAGATTCTCTCTATATATATCAAAGGAAAAGAAAGAAAATACTATCCTATTTATAATAAAAACTTGATGTGCAAGAGGATTATCTCATCAATGGCCTCGTTTTCTTCCTTTGAGTTGAAAGATAGGCTAAACTTATTGTATTATTCATTCAATTCGAGGATTATTTATACAAGATCCTATCTATATATATAAAAGGAAAAGAAAGAAAATACTATCCTATTTATAATAAAAACCTATATAAACCTATATAGTGCTATTACCGTATGTAGATAATGCAACGGGCGAGGCGGGATCTAAGCAACCATTACCATCTTCACCTCGTTGGGCATTTTTGGGAAGCAGGACGGAAAAAAAAAATAAAAAAATCTCCATTTAATAATTTAAAATAAAATTTAAAAAATATATATATTAGTGACTGGATGGAATACTTGTACGAATAACAGAAATCTAACAGCAAAAGAATCGTACGCAAGAAGTCCACATAGCCATAGCTGCACAAGGATCTTCAAAGACAACATATGTAGCCGACCAGAAACCTAAAAATGTGCCTCCTGTAAGCATTAGGCTTGCGCAAACAGCAGAAGCATCGTGTGCTCGAGATAAGCTTTTTGCAGTCTTTGCTGACTTTTTTTTTAAAAGAGGAGATTCATCGTCTGCTTCAGTACCCAAGCAGCTGGGACACAACGTGGCATCCTTTCACATCACCACAATCCCATTCAGCTGAACAAGAAGCTTCTTGAATTTATTTATGTATTTATGTTCCAAGGACAAGCCGACAAGGATAAAATCCAATTATAATTTATAAAATAAAGATTTTTTTTCAAAAATGAGGAATTTATCCAAAAAAATCGTAAAATCCAATTATAATTTATAAAATAAAGATTTTTTTCAAAAATGAGGAATTTATCCAAAAAAATCGTAAGCTCCCATATCAACAGTCTCTCGGCAAAACTGCTTATTAGAGAACACCCCAACCCGTCACACCACTGCCCTGTTATTGGGTGAGTAGAAATTCAATAGGTTTTGATATACTGTTACCCGGAATCATAGTCTCGCGNAAAAATTTTTTTTTTTTTTTTTTTTTTTTTTTTTTTTTTAACCTAATTATCTTTTATTAATGAGGAACTGCTTTGTGGATTTATGGTGTGTGGAACAGAGGAGTTACTTTTATGCACTAGAAGGGATAGTTCAAGTACCAACCTTATAAAGGGTGACACATCATACTAAGAACTAGAAAATGGCATGTAAGGGGTTTTTGGAGTGCCTCTTGAAGCTGGTGAACTTCTTGTTAGCCCTTGTGGGTCTGGCCATGGTTGGATATGGAATATACCTCTTTGTAGAGTATAAAAATTCATCGTCCTTCATTGTGCATTCGAGTGGCGAACTGCTGCAGCTAGGTCGCCCGATGCTCATGGCTGTGTCGTTGGATAGCATTTCCGATAAGCTCCCCAAAGCTTGGTATGACACCTATTTATGCTGGCTTTACTTTTGTGTATTGAGTTACTGAAATCCTGGTGTACTTGTATTTCTTTAATCAGCGTGTTGTATATATTTGAGTTGTTTTATTTAACACGCATCAAGACGTGGTGGGAAATATTATTGAATGTAATATAAGAACTTCAAACCATATATTCATTATGTTTTAGAAAGTGAGAGAGAGCTGAAAGAAGTACTTATTCTAGGGTAACAAATAATGATTCAAGTCGTTTTTTGAGACTGAAATTTGTTATAGTTCAACAGGAAGTTGAAAGTATGTTGAACGAGATCTTGAGGAGAAATTTTGGTTATCATTATTAATGGTTTTTCTTCTTTTGTAAGTTGTCCTTCTAGAACTGTGTGAGAAGTGTTACAGTTAACGATATTCATTTGCCAATTCATATTTTCTTTCGTGATGTTTCGCACGTTTCCCTCCTCCACTTGTCCGTGGAAGTGCTTGTTCTTCATATTTTACTTGAATCCTTTTCATCACGTGTGTCTAAATTGACAACGAAGGTTTTTTTCTTCTTCTTTTAGTTTTTGATGTTAAAAAAGAGACATGATACTCTTCAACTAAAGTAACAATCTAATCTGAGTGCCTTCCAGAATACAACTGATTACCAGTAAGGGAGTCTTCTGTCGTCGGTTCTCATTCAGAAAGATTGCCGGCAATAACTTTTATCCTGTTCTACTGGTGATGGACCCAAGATGTGTGCTTGGATTTTCAGGGGAAGGGGTGTAGGGATTGCCTCCTCCCACTCCTTTTGATCTGCCAGTGCTTTCATCTAATGATTTGTATGATAAGTCTTGTTAAGCAGTTCCTAGAAAGATAATTATTAAATTATTAACATATGTAGAGATAGAAGCGTGTTTGGAAATTTCTCTTTGCTATTTTTGCTAAGATGCCTCTTAAAATATACATGAAATATTGACTACTTTCAATATAATTTGAATCCAATGTCTACATCTATTTTTAAGAATTATGCTCTTTCTTATTTATGTTCAGTCTCAGTGAGACACATTAAGGTTTGTTTTCTTGCATGAATAATAATTTCCATGAGTTTTGCGTTATCTATCTGTTGAACAGTATTTTGGTTGTCTTCTCTTATCTTTACGGTATACATTTCAACCCTACTCGATACCTTTTGCCATCCTATAATTCACTTTGCAGGTTATCATGGATAGCCTTTGAAACTGTCAACTAAAAGGTCTTCATGGCTAGAACGACACATAAAAAGTTTAATACATAAAATAAGGACAAAGCCAAAATCCAACATATTAAACCATTTTTTTTGCTGAATTAGTCAGTGGTTTGCAGCTTCATCTTAACATAAATCCTAGATTTCATAAAATCGGGTCTGCTTTCCACCTGAAGCTTCAGCTAGGTATTATATTCAGTAATGCCTTCCTTTTTAACATCGGCAACTTCCTGTATAGGGAGATGTTATAGGACCCTTTTCTTGATTCATGTGATCAGATATCTTCTTCAGATTAAGTTTCAGTGAAAAATGACACTCCTATTCATCAAGCCCATGCGCGTGTTAGCAATGATGACCCAATGTGAGCGATTTGACCTGCGAACATTGAATCTTCCTTTATCAATCAAGCACCTTTAGACACCAGCCATTCTATATCTTCAATGGAATGGCAGTGGAGGGGAGCACCACCGGCTCCTTTTTCCTTATATGATATGTTTGATATCTTAGCGAAATCTTCTTGAGTGACATACCTATCAAAAAAAATCTTCTTGAGTGACACACTTCCCCTTGTTGGTCTCCCATTCTTTCAAAACTCTTTTTTCTACATACTCATTTTTTACTACACATTCATACAATAAAATATTCTA